AGCCCCCCAGGGATGGCGAGGTCCCATTTGAGTCCGCCGTGGGTACCCACTGTGCTGGCCCCCCCAGCAGCCCTCGAAAGTGGCGACAGTTTCACAGATCGCAGCCCCCCAGCTGGCACGCAGCGACGAGCGAGGCAAAAGGCAACGGGCAGGAGAGGGGCGGGAAGGTTCGCGCGAGCAGTGCTCGATTCAAAACGAGAACCCAACGCAGGAGGGTTGGGAAAAAGAAGGCTGTTGCCCAGTGGCCCGGAGGACCAGGGCCCGGGGTGTACCCCAGGGTGCGCTCTGGCCCGCGTTTCGAAGGGTATCCAGCCGCGGCGACGACGAGCGTCCCCAAGGCGCGTCTTCGGGTCCAGGAAGGCTCAGAACAGTTCTCGAAAGGCCGCGGGCCTTCCGAGCCTTTTGAGAAGGCCCGCTCCTGCTCCTTCCCCCCCCTCGCTCGCCGTCGACCGACACAGAGATAGAAAAGCAACCGAAACACTCGCTCATGGTCAGCTCTGCCCAGCGTGCAGAACGGATCCATCCAAAAACGTGTTTTTTTCGCAGGGTCACGCGAACCGTTGCCCACAATTTCCAATCGGGGATGGACAGACCCCCCTTTAGTAAAACGTGGTTTAGTGAAAACGACCTGAGGCCCAAACCTGGCGGGCGCAAGCCTGGAAAATAACGGCCACGGCGCCCTCTCGAGAGCCGAAAACGGACAATTCACTAGTCGACGTGTCACTGTTGGGGGTTCTGTCCACCTTTGATCCAATAGCACAAGGGATGCTCCGCCTGGAAGGCCGCGACCCAGATCCGCCGCGCACCGGCGCCACGGCAGGTCGCCGACGACCCCACAAGCGAAGCCCGACGCTGCTCCCCAGCACTCCCCCGAGGAGCCATCGATCCTCGCCACGCTCATCGATGGGTACAGTCGAGGCGTTGACCTAAGGAACCCTAAATAAGGAACGAGGCCCCTTTCCCTCATGGAAAACCCCAGGAAAACCCCAGGAAAACCCGAGGCAAACCCGAGGCAAACTTTGAAACAATCAAGGAACACCGAGCCGCTCCCCAGCGAAAAGGGTTCCTTCTTCAGCGCCCCGACCGTAATCGATGAGCGTGGGCCGTCGATCCCCGACCTTCCTCGCTCATCGACGGGTCATCGATGAGCGAGCTTTCGCTGCGCTCCTCGCGCATCGATGAGTCATCGATCCCCGACCTCGGGAGCGGCCAAGAGGGGGGTGTCCAAGAGGCGGGGGTGCAAATCATGACCGGCGGCATGTGCGCGGCCCAGCGGGGCGCCGCGAAATCTGGGGAGATATCATGGCCCCCGCCATGATATCCACCCCCCTCTGGTCATCACCCCCCTCTTTTCCGCTCCCGAAGTCATCGATCCCCGACCTTCCTGGCGGGGCCCGCGACCCCTCCCACGGAGAGTCGGCCACGGCGGCCGCGACGGCCCGAGGGGCAGGCCGCGGGGAGGCGGCCTCCCGACGCCGCCGCCCTCTGCGCGTGGAGCCCCAGGCCTCGTCAGGCGAGCGGCGGGGGAGGGGGAGGCGGATCTCCTCCTCCTCCTCCTCCTCCTCCTCCTCCGCCTCCTCCTCCTCCTCCTCCGCCTCCTCCTTCTCAGCCTGTTCCTCCTCCTCCTCCTCCTCCTCCTCCTCAACCTGCTCCGCCTCCTCCTGCTCCTCCTCCTCCTCCCACTCCTCCTCCTCTCTCCTCCTCCTCCTCCTCCTCCTCCTCCTCCTCCTCCTCTCCTCCTCCTCCTCCTCCTCCTATGCCTCCTCCTCCTCCTCCTCCTATGCCTCCTCCTCCTCCTCCTCCTCCTCCAGAACATGGGGACGCCTCAGAAGACCAGTATCGAGGAGGTGGGAGCAGGACAACCCCAACTCAACTTTCTGGTACGCGAGACCTTGGGCCACGTCTCCATTACTCAGCTTTCCCGCACGACCTGCAGTCCGAAACAGCCCAGTCTGAGGACACACGTCCGTGACGGTGCTAATTGACGACATGTACAACTGCCTCGAGATGATCAAACTTGGGACGCAAGCCGACCACGCGATTCTCCCAGGCTACCTGCTCAGATTGTTGTGGCTCCTGCTCGCCAAGTACGAGAGTCCGAGGGTGGCACGTGCATGGGGAGCTCTCTCGTATGGATGCACAGCTTTCCAAGGCATCCTCGCAGGATGCTCTCATGCGTCGACCGTGGTTCATCTTCTTCTTATTCTCCATGCACGCAGGTATTGTTCGAGTCTGCGGTTCCCAAAACTCTCATGGATGACGCGGGCGTCCAATTGACAGGTGGTGACCCGACCAGATCGTCCGCTCTTTTCCCAACAGTCCCGTGGTGTTCGTTGCACGTCCCTGATCTGCGCCTGATAACATAAGCCTCGGAGAGTGGACGTATTGCCACCAATCAATGCAGCGAAGCGTAGCACCAAGCAGTTCACGAAGCTGCTCGGGCTGAAAACTTCCTCTGGGGAGACCAAACTGTACCGATACCGCTGCTCCCTGGACCTCTCCCCGGGTGCCTCCTGGCCAGGATTGCAGGGCGAATCCAGCAGTGGCGACGAGGGCGTCGGAGGAGGCCCGAAGAGGGAAGCACGGGGGAAGGGTAGGCACATGGGTACCCCTTCCTCCTCTGGCCCTCTCGCACTGAGGACTCGAAGCCACGAGCTCCTAAGAGGCATGGTATGGAGAGCCCTGGAGAGCCGCGGGCTTCCTGGGGCCAGCGGCGCGGAAAGACGGGCGGCGAGCTCCGGCACGAGGTGCGCAGCACCAAGGTCGAACATTGTGGCGCACGGAGCCTTCCCCCACATCCTCCTCCGCCGCCTCCTCCTCCTCAACCTGCTCCTCCTCCTCCTCCTCCCCTCCTCCTCCTCCTCCTCCTCCTCCTCCTCCCTCCTCCTCCTCCTCCTCCTCCCTCCTCCTCCACCCCCCCTCCTCCTCCCCTCCTCCTCCCTCCTCATCCTCCTCCTCTCCCCCTCCTCCTCCTCCTCCTCTCCTCCTCCTCCTCATCCCTCCTCCGCCTCCTCCTCCTCAACCTGCTCCTCCTCCTCTCCTCATCCCATCCCCCTCCTCCTCCTCCTCCTCCCTCCTCCTCCTCTCCCTCCCCCCTCCTCCTCCTCCTCCTCTCCTCCCTCCGCCTCCTCCTCCTCCTCCTCCTCCTCCTCCGCCTCCTCCTCAACCTGCTCCTCCTCCTCCTTCCTCAACCTCTCCTCCTCCTCATCATCCGCCTCCTCCGCCTCCTCCTCCTCGTCCTCCTCCTTCTCTTCCTGCTCCTCCTCCCTCCCTCCTCCCTCCTCCCTCCTCCCTGCCCCCTCCTCCCTCCCCCCTCCTCCCTCACGCTGAAGACTTTGAGTGCAGTGGCAGCAGAGTCAGCAGGAGCCCAGCAGCATGTACCAAGAGCGCGACCAAAACTGACGAGTGTTATGACCCTATGTTCGATGCCACGACGCTGGTTGTAGTCAGGCACGCTGGTGTAATTTGGGGCCGTCTTACAACTCTTGCTGAACTTTAACCAGCGCTCATGGACATAAAGCAGGCGTTTGGAGATAAACCTACATGGGCGAAGTGAAACGGCCTAATGGCCGCAACTTCCCTGTCGCTCGCCAGAGTCGGATGGATCATGGCATCTGCACACATCGTGGTTGATGATTGCGGAGTTGCAAGTTCTCTTTGCGTGACACCACCCATGAAGTTCAAGAAGAGGCTCGTCCAGGGCACAGGACGATGGCAGATGCGAAAGATACTTGAGCACAAACCTGTGGCGTGGGGAACGGAGATAGTGGAGACGTGCAATACGACTGGCAATCCTGCGCGTCAGGTACAGTGTCCGACGAGGGTGTGCGAGGATTCTTCTTGTATCGGGAGGCTGGCCGCCGTCCAGGAAACGCGCTGCAGGATACAGGCCGACGCCAGCATGTGATTTGAGCCCACACAAGGAGGCCACGCTAGGCCATCAGTGCTATGGGCGTCCAGCTTTAACCGAACTTCCTGAGAACCTCGAAGTGGAAGCCCCTTCCAGAGGACATCTTGGCACACAGGGAGATTTGTTCAAGTTTCGGGCAACTCGGGGCTCCAGGCCGACTGGAACACGTTAGAACTCTCCTGCAGCCTTCCTTGCAGGGGCCCCAGGACACACAAATAAATACACACAAATAAGCAGATTTCCCATATGTTCCCATATTTTCTGGGTGCTTGTCTTCCCCCCCACTTCCCATAGTTTCCCATATTTTCTGGGAATCGACGATTAATTATGTCTGTGCGTTGTTGTCCCCTCCTGATTCCTTTCTACCCTCTCAGCTTCCCAAAGACACCTGAACCTCCCGTGCTCCGCTGGTGTGCAACTGAAGAAAACTGGGGCATGCGTATCCACACTGACGAATTGGGGCTTGCGAACTCAAGTCCCGAACTTGGACGGTGCGGATGGGCGGCCGTCGAGGTGGACCTCGGCGGGGTCCCGCGGAGGGCAGTGTATGGGCCCCTGCCTGGGCGCCAGACTATGCCTCGCGCTGAGACGTACGCGGCGCTTCGAGCAATCAAATTGCACCCCAGGGATTTTAAGTGATTTCAGACCACTTGCAGCTCGTCCGTGCCATCATCGTAGCATCATCGTCATCACCACCAGCGGGATGGCTCGAGGAGGAGGTAGCTCACTGGCTGGAAACACTCGAGCAATGAATTTTGTGCGCGGTGAGCCTCTCGCTGCCACGAACCGCGGGGTAAGTATTACATACGCCAGCGGCCCCGCCGCGTCTCTTTCAGTGCTGCCAGACTTGCCTGTGCCAGTCGCCTCAACAACAGTTTCTGTACCACTAGACTTGCCAGCGTCAGTCGACAGCTTGCCAGTTTCTGTGCCGCTAGAGTCGCACGCGCAAGCCGCAGCCCAGTCAGATACTGTGCCAGATTATGTGCGAGCAGCAGCACCTCAGCCAGTTTTTACGCCAGCGGCCCGTCAGTCAGTTTCAGTGCTGCTAGACTTGCCCACACCAGTCGCCTCTCAGACAGTTTCAGTGCCAAACTTGCCAGCGCCAGTCACGGACAACTTTAGTCCACACCAGGAGGCTCCGTACGACACAGCCGCCGAGGATGAGGCCGCAGAATTTATTTTTTCATGGCAGGCATCTCCTTCGCTACGTCTCGAGGCAGCGCGATGCAGCCCCCCTGTGTCAGCACCCCCGATGCGTGGCCCCGAGCGGGGCACTACGAGAACAATGGCTCTCTGCGGCGGACCGTTAATTGTTTCACAAACATGCTGGCTCCAGTTTGGTCCTGACGCCGAGGAAAGAAAACATCATCATCATCATCATCATCATCATCATCATCATCATCATCATCATCATCAGCATCATCATCATCATCATCATCATCATCATCATCAGCATCATCAGCCTCCTCATGCCTCCTCATGCCTAATCCACCCTCCTTGCTCCAGCCTCCTCGCTTCTCGCTCTCCTCCCTCCCTCCTCCTCGTCCTCCTCCTCCTCCTCCTCCTCCTCCTCCTCCTCCTCCTCCTCCTCCTCCTCTTTATGCCTCCTCCTCCTCCTCGCCCGCCGGCGCGCAGAGCAAAGCCGTTCGGACGCTTCAGGGCCGCTCGCCGATGAAGCAAGCGCGAGCCGCCGGTCGGATGACTGAGGAAAGGGGGAGGGATCCTGGGAGAGTGGCTCCCGCTAGAGGCGCCCTCCACACTCAGGCCCTAGGAGCCCGAAAGTGACGACAGTTACAAATATTCCGACGACCCGCGAGGAGGAGGAGCAGGAGGAGGAGGAGGAGGAGGAGGAGGAGGAGGAGGAGGAGGAGGAGGAGGAGGAGGGGGAGGAGGAGGAGGAGGAGGAGGAGGAGGAGGAGGAGGAGGAGGAAGGAGGAGGAGGAGGGAGGAGGAGGAGGAGGAGGGAGCTGGGGACCCCATAGGGAGGGGCCCCCCGCGCGAGACTTCCTCGCAGCTCACTCACAGGCGAGGCTATCGCTCGAGACTTCCTCGGGACACCGGTCACTCACAGACGAGGCTCCCGCTCGAGATGTCCTCCAGATTCGGGCCTCGGGAGCCCAAAAGTGACGATAGCTACAAGTATTCCGACGACCCGCTCGGATTCGAATGTGGTGACAGGTGAAGGGCTACCGCTCGAGGCTTCCTCGCCACTCACTCACAGACGAGGCTCCCGGTCGAGACTTCCTCACGCAGAGACGAAGCTCCCGCTCGAGACTTCCAGTGTACCCTGGCCTCAGGAGCCCCAACAAAGATGACAGTTACAAGTATTCCCATGACCCACTCGGACTTGAATATGGAGGCGGAAACCGGTAGGAAGAGTACTCCCGCTCGAGATGTCCTCGCCATTTGCTCACAAGCGAGACTCCTGTTCGAGACTTCCTCAGGATTTATGCGTGAGTGAGTGTGAGTCTGTGTGTGTGCGCGACTGTGTGACTGTGTGCGATTGTGATGATGGTGGTGGTGGTGCTAGTGACGATGACGATGACGATGACGACGACGACGATGACGACGACAACGACGACGACGATGGTGATCATGATGATGCTGCTGGTGGTGATGATGATGACGATGACGATGATGACGATGATGACGATGATGATAGTGATGCTGATAATGGTGGTAGTGATGATAATAATGATGATGATGATGATAATGATGATGACGACGACGGTGGTGGTGATGGTAATGGTGGTGGTGGTGATTGTGGTGGTGATACTGATGGTGATGGTGATGGTGGTGTGATGGTGACGCTGATGGTGATGGTGATCATCATGATGATATGGCAACGATGGTCGATGACCGATGATCATCATGGAATGGTGATCGCGATGGTGGTGATGGTGTGATGGCAATGGTCAGTGCCAAAAAAATATACGTAGGAGAGGGGGATATAATCTCTCTCTCTCTCTCTTGCGCGGGGCGTCCAGGTAAAACCAGAACCCCATTTAGGACGTAGGAAACTACAGTCATAAGCGTGATTCCAATACGCGGGAGGAAACAATGCGATAATATGGAAACGTATTACGTAAACTACAGCGCGGCAAAGATAACGAAAAAGGCTAAGAGGGGCCAAGTCGGGAGTGGCTTGTGCAAAAGCCAGGACGTAAAGAATAACATGATAACTTCCTCCTCGTCCTCCTCCTCCATCTCCTCCTCCTCCTCCTCCTCCTCCTCCTCCTCCTCCTCCTCCTCCTCCTCCTCCTCCTCCTCCTCCTCGTCCTCCCCCTACCCTGGCTCCTGGCTCGTCCGCGCTGCAGTGCAGGCGTGCCTTGCCCGTGGCTCGGACCCCTGCCAAACGACGCTCTCAAAGCCAGGAGCCAAGTGTGACTCGCCGCCCGTGCTCCGGGCCCTCGCCCTGGCTGTTTAGCGTCAAGTCAGGCCTGTCCCCCTACAGGGGGATTTTCGACGAGAAATAAAAAATACTTCAAAAATAATCAAAAAAAAATCCAAAAATAGTCTGGGGACTATTTTTTAAATATTTTTTGGCCTTCTTGGGGTATGTTTGGGGTACTTCTTATTTGTTCGTCGAAAATGCCCCTGTAGGGGGACACGCCCGACATAAGTTTAGCAGTTCGGGCGGCGTAGCCAAGAGGGCGGGAAGGCTGCTGGGGCTGCTGCTGCTGCTGCGGCCGACGGGGCGGTGGGCAGTGCGACCCTCTTCTCCAATGTGTCGGCCATGAGGTCCGGCGTACTGGGCCACGTTTGTTCTGTATTCGGTGTGGGGCTCGTGTGGCCATCGGTTCTCACAAATTCGATGCCCTTGGGGAAGTCTGCCCTTCGGGCCCCCCAGAACCCCGCCCGGCGTAGAGCCAGGGACTGGCCAGTCGACGGGCGGCACACGGCTACCGGAGCGAAGCTTTAGTTTCACTCGCTGGGTTTCTCTGGCGTGCGATGGCGGTCTGACCTCGCACGAAGCACGTTTTATCTTTTAAATGATTATTTGCTTCCATCCATTTTTCATTGCTCTGACGTGCTCGCGATTCGTTGCTTGTACGTTCTATGCTGCGTCCTGCGTCCTCGTCCTCCCCCTCCGCTTGCGCTGTCCTACCGCCTACGTACTGGTCGGACCTAATAAAGAGCCCGACCCCGTTCACGAAGTCCGTTACCCGTGCCAGGTCAATGCTTGATGGTCCTGGTGCCCGGACCAATTTGCCAAAATCTCTGGGGACCAGTTTCCCCCCAAAACGACGATGCCCTGCGAGAACCCTCCCCGACTGGTTCCTGAAGGCTTTCCGGAGCGTTCTGGGAGGGTTTCAAAATGGTTCAGGTCGCTTGGGAGACACCAGCCCCTAGCGAACCCCAGACTTTCTGACGGTAAGTGCCTCCAGAGGCTGGGAAATGTTGTGCTGGAGGCTTACCAGGCGAGGGAAGGGCCACCGAATCCCCAGACATGCGCTGTCTCGAGTTGCCGGTCCTGGGGCCGTGCAGGGCCCCTGGAGGCCGAGAACGGCCAGAAACCTCCCGTTGTGATTCTGTCACGCCGCGGGCACGTCTGGGCAGCTACCTCCTCCCCCGCCTGAGGAAGCGCAGCCCGGTGGTCGTGCTGTCTCCGCGACGCGAAGAGATCTGGGGAGACGCGCGGAGGAGACGCGCTGGAGCGACGAGCCGGCTGGCCTGCCACCGCCGCGTCCCAGGCCTCGCCGCCGCCGCTGGCGCAGACCTGGGGCCGGGCGGGTCAACGAGGAGGCTCCCATGGCCAGAGGACTTCCAAGCCTTCCGAGAAGATTCGAGGCGGAGGCTCCTCCTCCTCCTCCTCCTCCACCACAACCACCACCACATCCTCGTCCCCCTCCTCCTCGTCCTCCTCCTCGTCCTCCTCCTCCTCCTCCACGCCCTCCTCGTCCTCCTCCTCCTCCTTTTCCTCATCCTCCTCGTCCTCCTCCTCCTCCTGCTCCTCCTCATCATCATCATCATCATCATCATCATCATCATCATCATCCTCCTCATCCTTTTCCTTATAAAAATAACTTCTCCCCGTCGCACCCCGAGGCCAGTTTTTAGGCCGGGCGTTTCGCGCAAGATTTTCATCACCATCTATGACCCTGAAGCTGACAAATTGGCAACAGTTTCGCACATCGAGGGCGGGTCGTTTTCTAAATGTGGCTTTCGCCTTAGCCCCGCGCACAGTCATTTTAAACCTTTGCAAAAGCTTCACGGATTGAGGCCGGCCCGTTTTCAAAATGGGGCTCCCACCTTGGCGCGACGTACATTCATTCTGAAAATTTGCAAGAACTTCACGGATTGAGGGCGGATACTTTTCAAAATGTGGTTCTCGTCTTAGCGCCGCGCACATTCGTTTTATTTAATCATGCAAGGGTTTTACGGATTCCAATGATCAGAGTACCAGACATGGTGTTTTGGAAGGATTTAGGATTACAATGAGGATTACAATGGTACAACAGTTACGTTGGTCGCATGGTTGAAGTCCCAGGAATGGCGTTCTGGCACAACTCAGGATCGTCAAGACGAAACAATCAGGTTGATCCGAGGCGTTGGAATCCCGAGAACACTGTTTTGGCATGCGCCAAGGTCTTCAAAAAGGTTTTCGTCCGACGAGGCAGCTCCCTCAGTTGAAATCAACCGCTGTGCGATGCGATGCGATGCGACCACCGTTGCGGACAGCGTCCGGGCCTGGAGCAGACCAGGTGGGTGAGGCCATGGCCTCTAGGATCTGAGGTGTCTGGATTCATGCAATGCGAGACATGTAAAAAGTTAGAAGGAGAGGGGGAGGAGGAGGAAAAGAAAGTCCTTGGTGTAGGTGTCGGCGCGGGTTGGGCGAGATTACGTAATTAGTCTGAGTCCCGGGTGCTGGTCGACGTGAAATCGGTGAAGTGGTGCTCGAGCGCTGTCCATGCTTCGGTGTCTTTTTTTTTTCATCCTTGATCCCCAGGACAACCCCAGAACGTACTAGGTGCAGCACTTGGAGCCACACTCCCTTCGCCACTGTTCTGTGCAGCGGCACCCAAAAGGGGGCGAAGACCGCGGGCATGCCATCGGCCACGCGGGCCGCCCTGGTGGCGCACGCCACGGGGCGGCTCCGAGGGCCCCGAAGCAGCTGAAACATCACGCACTGCCAGAGAGGAGGAGGAGGGGGAGGAGGACGAGAAAAATACCATAGCCTGGTTCCTCCAGGCATTGGCAACAATACGGTGCCTCCGAGCAGTGACTCTCAGTCGAGCCTCAAAATGCTGCTCAACAGAGCCAGGGATGCCGAGACGACGGTTGTTGTGGGCAGCAACAAAAGCATCTATACACGCGGCAAACAGAACATTGGATGACATCGGCGACGGTGACAGCAGAAGGAAGGGGAGGAGCCAGGGCGAACCCTCAGGTAACCACGACGACGAAATAAATAAGTGACCAAGCCAACGACGGAAGAGAGCAGCAAGACGAGGGCAACGACTGTAATGCTCGACTGAATCAAGGTCTTGAGAACCATCATCTCGGCATCCCAACAAACACCCAGCCGATCTGGCATGAAATCTACGAGAGGAACATAGACCACGGCACAAGAAACGATATATGCCTACCAACAGATATGGTTGGGTATTCTCGACAAGGACGAACGAGTTCAGGAAGAAACGATCCATCATCGGAAGAGTAAGTTGAGGGAACCATGCCGAAATCCGACGATAGAGAATACTGCGGGCATCTTCCCGAGGGCCAAAGTGCTTAAGACAGCGAGCGTATAGTAGAGCTTGGAGTTTGCGATTCGACTCATCAACACGCATCGGGATACTCGTGTACCATGAATACAATGTGCGCATGTAAGAAAGAAAGCTGGATTTCCACCAGCCGGTACGAACACGAACCATAATCACGTCATCATCAGACCCGAGAGAAGATAGACGGGCGAATACTTCTAAAACAGCAGGGCGCCTCAAGATATACCTCAAGCATGTCGCTCTGGCCAGCGACACCAGCTCGGGAAACTCAACAGGAAGATTAAGCTGGCGAAGCTGTGTACACATAGCATAACTGAATGCATTCCTCGGTCCAGCCGTGAGGAACATGACAGACTCCCGATAGGCGTGCAGGAGCAGCTTACTGATAGGGTTGAGCTGGAGAATAAAGCCAAGCACGGAAACACACATGACACGAAAAGCGACCGCAGCACGAGTAAGACCCAAGCCCAGACGGCGAGAGGTCCCCACACGGAGCCTGAACTTCCGAAGAGCCTCCGACCAGACCTCTGAGGACCCCTGAGGACCAATACACATCCCAAGATATTTGACACAGTGGAGCACTTGAAGCCGTTTGATGTCACCCTTCAGAACTTTGACAGAGGACCGAACCCAGGAGATATCACTATTCCCAACCAGGAGTAACTGACATTTGTGATAATTGAGACGAAGCCCCGCAATACGCTCAAGGTCTTCCAACTTGTGAAAGACGGGCCCCAGCGAAGTAAATATATCGGGAAGACTGAAGCAGAAATCGTCTGCGTATGCTAGCGAGAGTGCTATGTGAGGCCCGAGCGATGCTTGGACCCATCTGAGCAAGGGGTCAGCCGCCAGGACAAAAAGGAGCATGCTGGATGGGCATCCTTGCTTCACTCCTCTCCCCATGCAAATCCTCCCATGCCTCTTCCCTCCCAGTACAATAGTGGCATACTGAGCTTGATACAGCAGCGTGAAGAAACGAATAACCGCAGAACTGATGCCCATGCGGGTGAGTACATGCAAAAGCCATTGCGTCGCGAGCGAGGGGAACGCAGCGCAGAAGTCAGTCATCAATAGGCCAGCATTGTCATGACCACGTGCATATTGCTCTACCCCCCAAGCTTCTGCCTCGACAATGTTGGCTACCATGTCCCTGGCGTGCACACACTTCTGTGCAGGCGAGATGAGGGAAGAGGAATTGGCGGCAAGCGGGATCGACATAATACCCGCTAAGATTTTAATGTCAGTGCTGCTCATGCTAAGGGGGCGGGTATCTTGCGGACGACGGGAGACACGAGGACCATCATCACGATCATCCGAGCCTTTCGGTAGGAACACCATAAGACTATGACACATATCAGCAGGAAGAGCTTCGACGGTGCCGTGGAAGAAACATAGGTAGGCATCGTAAAGGGCTCGGCATGCGGGTTCGGCTCGCCATGCACGGTACGGGATGCCATCAGGGCCAGGCATGCTGTGGCATCTGGCTCGAACGTAGTCAACAAACGTAGGATAAGGAACAAGCCACTCCACTGGAAGCTAAGTCCATGCTTCGGTGTCTTGGGCTGTTTGCGTCCATGTGATGTCGTTCGGTTGTCCTTCGAATGGGCTTACGTGGGCGGTCGGTGGAGGTCTGGTCTGGTGGGGGCCTATGAAGAGGGAGCTTGGATGACTCCTGAGTTTACACTGGTCCTCTTCCTCCTCCTCCTCGTCCTCCTCCTCGTCCACATCCTCGTCCTGCTCCTCCTCCTCCTCCTCGTTTTCTTCCTCCTCCTCCCTCTCCTCCTCCTGCTCCTCCTCCTCCTCCTCATCCCCCTTATCATAATCATCATCATCATCATCATCATCATCATCATCATCACCACCAC